CAACATTGGCTTCTATTTTTGAACTGGAACATCTTGATAACCTATATAAATAGGAAGGATATGAAGAGTGTGTTGGGTGATATAATGGTGACTTTGGCAGTGAGCTTTACTGATTGAAATTATACTTATCTAAACCTTAACTCTACCTAACTCCAATACAATCAACAACAAACAGTTAGAGGCCTTATATAGTATTCATACCTAACATTATTCAAGCTCTTACCTGATGAGCCTGTGTGTAATTCCCTCTCTGTAAGCACATGTTCAGAAGGGTGTCCTTGGTAGCCAGCATCCTTGGAATGATGCCTAAAGGCAGAACAACAAAATTGAATAAATTTTATGTAGTGATTGCAATCAAAGTGTTACAATGTTGTTCACAAAGATAAGGGGGGAAAATAGATGAAGTTCTTCCATTTTTTATGAACTCTACAATTAGATTTTCTAACCCTTTGATGTCACTAAACAAGTGTGAAGACTAGCTGAGTGCTGCCCACCCCTATCTTAGATGGGCCCCACAGCTGTATAATCAAATAGTGGATGCTACTACTACTACTACTACAGGTCAATGCCACATCAAAAATGTTCATTAAAAAAAAAAAGATAAGTACTAGCACTCTATCCTACCTGTTTTCCGTTTAAGGACAATGGAACTGGTTGCTGAGCTACATCGAGCACTGTGGTTCCTCCTTCTGCGACGTCTACCCTTGTCACTGTCATCTACAAACCATAACAACTCATTACTTTGTTTTTGCATTGATAAACCAACAGGAAAACAATTGATCTACATAGCCAAGCTGCTATCTATCAGCTACATGCAAACAGGATGTTGGAAATCCTACAAGATACAAATCTACGAGGAAGGGAATGTAAGGAAGCCACTAACCGGTTGCAGTACCAGTCTGTGTGCCCGTCACCTGTTCACTGCCTGGCAACGACCTCTCACTTTCTGCCCCAGTTCCTTGAGAAGTAGCTAGCAGCACAGAGAGGCGGAAATGTTGAACATAGGAGCAAGCTGAAGCTGGTTTACATTTTATATCCTTGCCCTGCTATACAAAAAGATATGAAGGTGACAATAGCATTAAAACTTTTGGCAACTACCTGTCTCACTCCTGCTTCTGCTAGTTGAAGACCCTTGTTTCTTTCTTTGTCTTCTTCCTCTTTTTGTCTTTGTTCCC